GATTTGTCTCCCAGACCTTTTGTATCCTCCGTCGTAATCGTCTCCCCCCGGACGGAAGAGATACTCGGCGCCGGTTGACTTCAAAAAATCCTTCTCCAAAGAACATTATTCATCTCTGCATATTTTCTGTAAGATAGCTGAGCCTTGTATGCTCTCCATGCCCCCAGTCTAGGCTATATCCTGCATGGTAGGTTTTATAACCTTTGACTTTTGTCCCATCTTATCTTCTACCTTTTAGGCTTGGGTGTTACCATGGTATTGGTTGTAGCCGTGATGAGTATCAACAAAATTCTCATCGCAAGCCTTTTACCTCGTGTGTAGTGACGCCATTGGCTACAGTCACGGTCCTTAGCTTTTGACCTGACTATAATTGGGAGACATATCTCATAGCCCATCTATGATTTTGCCCCCATTGATTAACTTCCTAAGCTATGTTTTCTCATGGGATTTTCTGCGGACATTCATCTTATCTTCTGATCTCATAGGCTATAGTCGAGAGACTTATCTCTTAGCTTCATATCCTATGCATTTTTCATACTTCCAGCCATGGTTTTTGTCCCATAGATAACTCGGTCAATGACTATCCATAACCGGTCTACAATGGAGGCTGGTTTTGTCCTTATAGATTCTCCATGGGCTGCCGTGTGATAGGCATGTACTGTGTGGCTAATTCTTGGACCATACTTTGTCAGTATAGATGCATTCCACAATCACGGCGATGAGTCATGTCAAGACACCTCCTTCCGTGACTATAACCATGTCGGACGATTATTTATGTGTCACTGTCCCATTGGTTGATTTTTAATTTTGAGTATTTCTTCATCTAACTTCGTTTTCTTCAGACAGTAAAGGTTTTTTATTCACGTCTCAATGTTGGAATAAGCCATAGCCCACTTGGCTATTTTTTATCCGTGCCATTCTTGCTTTGAACGACCATTTTCCTTTTTTTTCGAACACTTGTAAATTTTTTTGAGACTTCCTCAGAATTCTCTTGACAAATCACCTAGTTTTGTTATTCTAAGTGTGTCCACCCTTCCTGTGTTGAGACATTTTGCCTTGATCAGAAGATCTAAGCAATTTCTCATTCTAGCCTAGACACTAGTCGGGTCCGATATAACCATCTAGCTACTCTCTCGGATAAATTTTATCCACTCATTTCTTTTCAGATATCTTCGAGCATTCTTCATCTTTTAATTTTCTTAGTTGATCCCAATCAACTCCCCCTTGAATTTGGAACTCCGACTTTTGGCTTGTCTTCTCACGGTCATTTCTTTGTCTGTGATAATCTTCTCTCGGCCATCTTAGGTTCCACTCGAGCTTTTCTTCATCTGCTTTGGCGAAAGTGTTTATTTTTTCCCAGACTATCGATCCAATTTGTGCTTGACTCGATTTTGAGATTTTGGTTTTACAGCCAAAATTTTCTCTCATGGCCATTATGCTTCGGCCGTTCTCTGCTCTCGTCGGATTATTACATTCTCCCCCACTTCATATAATTTGGAAAAATTCTAAAGTGTAGAATGCCACCTCCGTCTTCCTTTATTTCTAACTTGATAATTCTCTTTTGACATAAGCCTCCGAGCCCTTCCATGGTTGTTCGGTTGGTTCTTCATAGTCATAATTGGCGTTCATCTCTTATTTTATCCAACCTCATTTGGATAAACTCCTGTGATACCACCATCTTTAACATCACCATTTCCATGGTTACATTTTTCATAAGTCCTCTGACTTTAAATATCTTTACATCTTCAGATTTTACCATGTTGTCCCCAAACATGTGGATTCACCATTATATTTTTTATTAGTACCACCCTTTTCTAATAGTAAGTAGTATCACTCTTTGGCACTTGCTCTCAACACTCCAGTGTGATTCCACCATTTAGTCTACCACGTCTTGGCGTAGACTATGATGAGTTATTTTACATCTTCATGTTTGAGCTAAGAGTAAGGTACGATCTTTACTTCGTCCTTCTCCACTCACTTTACTCTTTTGCTTCGTCATTGTAGTGATAATTTCACATCAATTAGACACTTCTTTGAACTCTTCTGCACAGCCTAAGTGATAATTCATCTTTATGTATACACTTCTATTAGCTCTTTTGTAAAGCTTCAGTGATAATTCATCATGAATTATACACATTTCCCTGCTTGATTTCACACACTTTATCCATGGGCTATATGGTCTCACTATTTTGTCAATTCTACTGATCTTATCTTCAATTGTGTATGATCTGTGTTCCTCTTTTTATCCCTCTTCCCGTGATCCATCTTCTTCCAATTCTCCAATAACGTATTCTACCACAACTGTAAACCTAAGGGTTCTCAACATGAATCCGGTTACTATGTTAAGATCTCTCCTACACTTCATGGTCAACCGTATTCATTCTAATTCTATTTTTTCTCGATTCTCACAAGTGTAATTTTACTTTCTACACATGAATAAAACTATCAAAAGTTTATTTTCACCAAAGCGATTCATCATTTCCCCAACCTGGGATCCCTAAACGACCAATTCAACTTACTAAAAGATTCGTCGTGGGATTCTAAACAACCAATCCAACTTACCAAATGTTTCGTCGTTTTTCCTTAACCAAGAGCTCATAAACGACCAATCTAACTTACCAATCTTACTTATCATTTCTCAAATAATATTTATCATATATAGTAACCAATGCCATATAATACTACTATGCATGCAATGAGATTATGATATAAGAATGGATTCCACCAATTCTTAACACAATTGAATCAAACTTTTAAGCTTGTTGATGGAGAGGTTGAAGATGATTTGTAACAAGTTGTGTCTGATTCCACAAACACGGTTTTTGAGTCTATTTTTCAAGGGCACTTCCTCGCATGGTCTCGTAGATTCTCCACAAGAGTTTCAAAGTTTTGATTCCACAAAATCTTAGAAAAATTGCAAGGACAAAATTGCTGCAAAGAATATTTTCTTTAGAAATATACAAAGTGGTTTTTCTTTTATATATCTGGTTTATATCAAAGTACAAAGTATAAGTGGACGTTGGCCATATTTTCCTTTCCTTTCCTTTGGGAACCAAGTAATTGAATCTCAATAAGGCAAATTCCTTCATGGTGATATCTTCTTGGTTTTGAGTTGGTTTGATGGGTTTAATGACTTGGTTTGTTGGTGTTCCTTCTATGGTAACTTTTTGGGACGCCAAATAATATAGTTTGTCATAAGATAAGGTCAAGCTTTCCTTAATTGGTCTTGATAATGCATATGTAAGTTCATTCATGCGATTTGGTGGTTTGGGCGGTTTAGCTTGATCCTCTTCCAATTTAAACTGAACCGAGGGTGGTTTGTCTTATATAATATGTCCTCCTTAGTCTATTGTATGCTGTTGTTTTAGTCGTGAGTCTTTAATCTCCTTGTAAACAGCTACAAGTCCTCCTTGCTCCTCATCTACAAGTAAGACAGGTTATTGTTAAGCTCCAATGCAGCTTTTCTGGTTTAATTTAGCTTGGCTGGTACTGATGTCCTCATCAGATTAGTTAGAACCCAAACTTACTTTTTTCTGTGCCATCTCAAGGCTAGGGATTTCTAGATTGCCTGGTCCTACTACTATCATTCTCATTAATCGCTTGGCTCTCTAAGGCTCTCCTTGTCGATGAACAGGTTGTTGTTCGACTGGTGGTGCTAGATGGCTGGGTGGGGTGAGTAGTTGGGCAATCAGCTCTGTAGTGGCATCTACCTCTACAGATTCGACATACTATGTGCCTTGGGGCCATGGGGTTTCCTTGTCATATGTTAGGACATACATGACTGAGATGCCTTAATCCACCACACATAAGACATGGTCCCATAACTCTCGAAGGTGAAGGAACTATCATCCTTGCAGTCCTTCGTGGAGGGTTTCCTCTCTGGCTAGATTTGTCATTGTTGTCATTTTTTGACATATGTTCTCAAGTTTTGTATCTTCATGATAAAGAATCTACCAAGGTCACTTGTAAACCTGTTATATGGGTTAGTCATCTCTTTTATCTGCCTCTCGATACTACTTTGCATTAGAAGAACTTCTCCTTCCTCTGAATATTGTGGCGTTTCGTTGTGTGGCATCTCCCCGCTTTGGCCGCCCATCTGGCTCAGCCTTCTTGTCCAATAGGTGGGTGAAGTGTATCTATGCTCCCACGTAATCCTCTTTTCGTGACAGCTCCTCATCTGAATCTGCTAAGTTATTTTCCTATATCTCACTGTTGAGTTGAACGATTGTAATCAGATCCCCATTGGCATAGCCTATTGACATAAAATGGTAAACGTAATGTCCGTTTGGTCTATCTCGCTTGGAATGTATGACTCTATTCTATAGCTCGGCATGAACACATGCGACATTGGTATCTTCGGTAGCACACTTTGGGAGCTGTTATCCCATGAGCATGGAGTAAATTTACTAGAGGACATCTCAATGATCTTGGTTGACGGCAGCAGGATCTCCATTCCAAGATAACTCGTCAACCATGCTGTATAGCCCTCACACTCGTTCACCGGTCCTCTAGGTGATGTCCTCGACTCTAACTCTATCTCCGGTGAAAGACTCATATCTCTATCCATTCTACTTTCATCATCAAAATTATTTGATATAGGAAATGAAATATCTGTTGATATGCTTAAATGCCCCCGATGAACTCGAATCAACATCCTCTCCATACCCATTTGCACACCAAAACTTTTTGTGATCATCTTTCAGTAACCAACGAATTTTTTCCATCCTAGTCGATGCGAGACCATAAAACAAAATCAGGATATCCTATTTCTCAAAACCAATCATTTTTTATCTCCCCAAATCATAATTATGCAGATGAACATTCCAGATTCCTAAATATGTTTTTACGATTCTTTTTGATTTGATAAACCTGATTAAAAATCATTGTATCTTGCATGATACGAAAACCATGCTCAATCATGTGCAGCTAGAGTCCATTACCCATTCATCTGTCTCTTGTAAGCTTGTTGTTAGCTAAATGGTACAGAACTTTGTGAATTACACGATTCATAGAGTACGTACGAAGCATAAAGAAGCAGACGTTAAGCTACCACGACTTGCTTGCTTTCACACACTTTGAAATTAAACGAATCTATAACAAATTAAGAGTTAAAAAGAATAGTAGCTGTACACTGTAGTCTTTACTCAAAGACCTAAAACAGCAGAATAATGTGAACTCAAAAAGTTCCGTAAGAGTTACAAGAAGTAAATATTATGCAAAATGAAAAAAAAAAAAACGTGAAAGAAAAGCAAATGAAGAGATCTCAAAAGAGTCCTTGAAAGTCGTTTTGGGTTTCAGAGTCTAAGGTAGCCTCTTCTTTCTTGGACTATGTTTGGTCTCTTCTGAAACGATCTTCTGTTAAGAGACCAACTTCTGTTCATAGCTCTCATTCTCCACCAAGAAGCTATCCGACTGTATAACGCCGGAAAACCAAAACATGATAACACAAGAACCAGCATTATAAGACAGATGTACATCACGTTTCTAAACCCATCTCCTAGCTCCGGCTTGTCTTGTCCAGTCCAAGGAACTCCTCCAACGTTCATCCCAAAAACTGGTACATTATAACAACAAACAAAAGATTACATTTAAGTGTTTCCAACACAGAGTATTGAGTTTTCAGTGAGCTTTTTCTAACCTCCGGTTATGATTGATAGAGGAAGGAATATGATTGAAAGGAAAGAGAGGTAATAGAGCTTTCGGTTGATTTGCTCGGCTTGCCAGCTATCTAGACCAGCTTGTATCGCGGTCACACGGTTCGCGATGAACCCTACGTTCTCTTTTAAACGTCTTAACCTCCCAATCAACTCTTCCAGTGAGTTGATATCCTCTGCTAGAAACCAAGGCTTCGTGGAACATTTCTCCTTCACTCTTGGAAACACTTGTTCTCCATGTGCAATCACCTGAGATGAGATTCATGCCAATGTTTTTAACTCAAGAGTAGATACAAACAAATACAAAAGTACATGGAGACAATGAGATCATGCAAAACAGTGTTCTTGAAAGCTTAAGGCTTGGTGAATCATGCCAATTTTTTAAACTCAGAGTAGATATAAACAAATCAGAAGTACATGGAGACATGAGGTTATGCAGAACAATGTTCTTCAAAAGCTTAAGACTTTACCTGCAAAAGGCGCTGCAAGTTGAGATGCAATTTTGGGAATCTTCTATCATCCAACATCTGTTTCTTCATAGCAAATCCACCTATTAGTCGAAGAAACAAGATCATTCATATGAATAAAACAAGAAACTACACAAGAACCTTCTGAAAAAGGCTGCAAATGTTCATAATGTTGAAGAAGATAAAAGAGTGTTAACTAACCTCTATCCATTTCGAGTTCCACAGCATCCAATTCGATCTCAAGTTTAGTGACAACATCTTGAAGCTGATCAACATGCGTATCAATGATATGCACGACAAGATTCGACACAGAGCTCGGCACGGGGTTATCAGCTTCCTCAGAGTGGTTCATCGTCAGCAAGAACTCAAGAACGTGCTCCTCGATCACGATCCCGCTTCTCTCCTTCTGCTCTCCACGATAGTACGAAGGAGAATCCACGCTAGGGACTTCCGAGAGAAGAGACTGACCCATAGGAGAGAATCCAAGCCTAGGAACTCTACCCAAAGACACTGTGATCACAGAGTTCTCGGTGATCCTAGCAGCAATCTTGAATGTGAAGCTGCTCGAAGCAGGACCAGGTGAATTAACTCTAAACACAAGCGCTCCATCAACATGTCCACAAAAGGGCCCGTTACTAACAAGAGAAAGAATGTCTTGAAGCTTCAATGGCGGACACAGAGCGTCTATAAGATGCTGTGCGGATTGAGAGAGTTTCTGGTTCCCTTTCGGTAACTCTACATGATACCAACAAAACTCTTTACCTGTTCCTTCTGCGAGATCCCATTCCTTGTTGTAGTATTTACCATCGCCGTCGAATATATATGCTCTTTGTCTCACCATCCCTGAGAACTGTGCCCTAAATCTATGAGCGTCTCTACGATTAGCGCTTGTTAAAGACTCTAGATCTGTCTCGTCTACTTCATCTCCTCTAATTCGATCTTCTTGCTGCATCATTGCCTGTTTATTTTCTCTCCGAAAGTCTTGATTTTTAATAGAAAGTCTCAAAATTTATACTTGGAACTGAAATCATCGAAACCTCAAAGGGTAGAATTAGAAACTTTTGTCCATCTGAAACGAATTGGGGATATGATCAAGAACAACATTGTGAATCTGGGGAAGAACAGAACATTGTGAATCTGGTGATGAACTTACATGCAATGGAAGGAGATGAGAATATATGATCACCGGAAAATAATCGGAAGAAGCTGAGAAATTTGACCCAGTTGTGGAATTGACGTCACGACGCGTGAAGAGGCGAGAAATCTCGGGGAATGGATGAAACAGTGAAATTAGAAGGAAGGAGAGGTTTGTTAAGAAAGGTCTCGGAGCTAAAGAGAGCTGGCGTTGACCTGAGAGAGACAAGTCGAATCTGTTAGATCAATTTTAACGGCACAGATTTGAGATCTCTTATATAGTTTATCTTTTATGTGATATGAACTTTTTTGTTTTGGCTAAAACTAGAAAAACCAAAAACTTATACTGTAAATGTATTGATTATCCATTTTTATATTTTAAAAGTCTTTTCATTTTACCATTATAACCGATATTTATGTTTGATTAGTGTACTCGATTCAGTCATATATACGAAAAAAAAAACCCACTTCAGAATCAAAATTGTTTCCTAATTTCAGAAGAAACTAGAAGTTCTTATTTTCGAAATTAGGGATTTGGGGACTTGAGAAACAGAGGAAGAAGTCATCTTTGGCGATCAAAGAGTAAAGACAGTACATTTTGGGTCGGGTACGTTTACATCTGAAAATCTCATCATCTTTCGCCCCTCTCTTAGCCAGTCGATGTAATCATCCATCGACTTCATTGTTCCGCTTTGAAATATGTTGTTTCTGGTTCGAATGCACCTATCTCGGTTTCCCTTTGATCATTGTTCGGGCAAATGTTGAATTTTTCGTATGAGTCTTGTTGAGTAAAGGTTGCACACAAACTGTTCGTGAAAATGCCGTAACGAAACGTATATGTGTCATTTTGCTAACGATGGTGTATTATTTTTTGAAAATCTGTGGTTCTTGTGGTTTGGGTATGTGATGTGACTCAGTACTTGAAACATATATCTCATTAGCATCTCGTCTATAAAGCTGTCTGAAATTCCAAGTATTGCATAGGTCGCAACTGGGTCTGCACATTGAGATTGCTTTAGTATGATCAGCTTAAAGGAAGATTCTTTTTAGGATTATAATGAATCATAGAGCCAAAGTGTCTTTATTGAGGTGATTGTAAGAGACAAGTATAGGCTCCTCCATCAATTCTGAGATGGGTGTGTTCTTGTAAGAAAAAAACAGATATTTTTTTATTGAAGTAAAGGTGAAGAAAGTTAATTTCTGCTTGACGCTTGTATTGGAGTTGTGCTTATGGTTTAAATCGTTTTTCATTAATTTCAATCTGGTTGAGCTGTGTTTCTCTTTATCTTTCAGCTATAGAAAGAAGATCGTTGTTGTTGCTAGTTACAATGTCTCGGCAGAATCAATTATTTACACTGCTTAAGAGAAGCTTTCATTCACCGTCTAGTGATGCCCCAACAGAGACCTTAAGGAAAAAGATAACTGATTTGCAAAGAAGCAAGAAACGAAGAAACCCAATAAAGAACCAGTTTCTTGTCGAAGTTCCAGAATCAAGATCGTATTTGGACACAGCAACGATGCCTATGTTCCTCGCTGTGGTCGGTATCGCATTGTTTGCAAAAGTGTTAATGATGGTATAAAAGCCTTTCTTGTTCTTCCTCTAATATCATCTCTTAGTGGAAATGTGTCTTTCTTGTTATTGATCTGATTCTCATTGTTGGTTTTTTCCAAAGATCGATGTTTCGAAATCTCAAGAAATGATTGAGCGGAAGATAAAGAATGCACCACCAGGGCAAGGCACGGTGAGGATGATCGAACGTGAGGAGTGGGATGAGTTTAGAGAAGTAAGGCCAAGAACACCATTCGAGTCCAAGCTTGCTCGTCCAAACGCGCAAATAAGAACCGGAGAGCCTGTGCGCAAGGTAGCAAGAGCCTCTCGTTGAATCATCCATCAAATCAGCCTCTTGATCATATTTGCTAAATCAATATCTTCATTTACTTTGTTTCCATTAGGATGACTTGAAGAACTGGACTATAGACGTGCTAACAAATGCGCTTGCACGAACCGAAGAAAGTGTTCGTCGTGGTTCCAGTTGATTTTCATGAACTCTCGTCGATTCCATGACGATCTCCTTCAAGAAACAGTTCTTATATGTATTATCTGTGTTTTGTTCTGAACATGAGTGACACTGACCGGTAATAAAGTAGCAAATCGAATTGGATGCTAGTTCCTCTATTTCATTTAAAAAGTGTAGGGAAAACGATCTATTTCCCGACGAGAACTATTATATAGCATCAGATGCATACAAACTAAGACCTCGTGCTATATATCTCCAAAAACAAAGTTAAAAACCTCGATCTTCCTCTAACAAAACTTCAAAACTTATTTACCCCCAAAATAAAAGTTCGAAATCTTAAAACCCATAAACTTTGGTTTCAGTTGGTTTACTAATTAATAAAAATTATCAAATTTTAAATATCACACCAACTATCATTTACATAATTAATCTAAACTAATTTATTTACATAACATAACATGATGTCCTAAGTTTTAACAAAAAAAATGATGCCCTAAGCGAGTGTTTAGAAATTTCTTTAGTAGGCACGGCTCTGTCCATCTCCGATCGATGTTGCTGTCGTCGCACTTTTTTTTTTTTTTATCTCCGATTACTGTCGTAACAATTTGTTGTGGGTATTTGTTAAGATATCAATAAAAGATTAGACAAAAGTTATTTAATATATAAACAATATCTAATTTTGATTAGTATGAAATTTTTTCAGGAACCTAAAAATAAATCCGTGTAAATGAGTTGAACATGAGCTTGAAAAGATAAACAATTGGTATGAGAGCCAAAGTTCAAAAAAGGTGGACCTCAGAAACTGGTGTTGGGCCGCATTATTGACTTCAAGAGAGAATTCTTGGGATATCAGTTCAAGTCCCACATCAGAAAATTAGACATGAATGGTCAAATATATAAGTAATATTTAACTATGGTTAGTATGATGTCTTTTGCGAGAAGCCCAAAGATAAATCTATGCAGGCTTTGCCATTCGGGCCTAAAACGGACAATATCATACTAATAGAGAAATTGGACATGGACTCAAAAAATCTAACAGTTGTGAAGCTTGTGTTTCCTTTGTCCAGGAATCATGAATCTTACACAAAGCTATTGGGTTTGCTTAGTTGGGCCAGATTGGCCACATCTATACTGTATAAAAATTGATGGCATAGTGCATCGAGGACGTTCACATAGGATTAAAAAAACTCAATATGATTGGTTCACATCAGTATTTTTCATTAAACAAAAAAATGTTAAGTATGATTAAAATATTAAAAATTTAATTTCTATTTTTAAAAACATTAATTTCGTTTTATAAAAGAAAAAATCAAAATAAGAACTTAAGTAACAAATAGAAAAGAAAATAATGTTAAAAAAATCAAAATATAGTATCTCTCAACATTAAAATGAAAATTTAATGTTAAAAGAGTTAAACTAACAAAAAAAACTAATAACATAAAAGCTAAATCTATAATATATAAAAGTTAATGGCATAGTGCATTGAGGGCATCCACATGTGATTAAAAAACTCGATCTGATTGGTCCACATCAGCATATTTATTAAATAAAAAATGCTAAGTATGATTAGGACGAAGATTCTCGATCTAATTGGTCCACATCAGTATTTTTATTAAAACACAAAAAGTTATATTTGATTAGCAATTTTAATAAATTAAAATATGCAAAAAACAAAAAAAAACTTTCATATTAGAATGGAAAATTAAGATAAAAAATGTTCAATTAACAAAACAGATTAAATGAAATTATGTCAAAAATCCAAATTTGTAACGTCTATCAAAATAAAATTAAAATCCAATATCATAAAACCTAAATCAACAAAAAAAGAAATTAATAACAAAAATGTTATTTTAAAAAACAATTCAAAATAAAAATATTAAATCAATAAAAAATTACAAGTTTTTAACTGATAAAGTAAAAAAAGCTTAGTTAACAAAAAAATATGAAGCTTTAAGCTAACTATTTAAGAAACTAATATATAAAATTAAATAAAAAATAAAAAGTTAAATATGTTTTACAAAATGTTCATACAATAAATATAGAAAATAATATCGGAATTTTTTTTTTTAAATCATCTAAAAACTGATTATTTAAAAATTAATATAAAATACTCTCATTAACAAGAAAATAAATTTATGTATGTAAAATGTCAATATTTTCAAAAAAGAATGTTTCAAAATAAAATAAGATTTAATATCAGAAGAGGTAAATTAACAAAAAAAGAAATCGTATGAAATAAAATTAACTTGACATTTAGGCTAACATTTTTAAAAAAATTAACATAAAAAGCTTTAACTAAGAAAAACCAAATGATGTTATAAGCTTTTAAGAGAAGTCTGCATAAGATTTAAAATGAATACTTATAGCATGTCAAATCAGTATTATAACTAAAATAAAAATTAATATGAAAAACAAATTTAACAAAGAAAAAGCATCAGAGTACAAAAAATTAACATTATGTATTTGCTACCTATTTTGATATTCAACAATAAAAGATGTAAAATATATATAAAAAAATAAACGAAACTAATTTAAAATTAGTTTCAATTTTTTTCTGATTTCTAAAATAGTGGTATGGACAATGAATAACTATCTACAGTTCCAATCAGTTTACATGAGTTTCTAAATCAAATATATTTTTTAAATATACAAAGATTAAAACACTTTGTGTTTCTGATTTAAAAATAACAAAGAAAGATACTACATAAGTAATTTTACATTTAAAATTTAACAAATAATAAAATCTGATTTCTATACATAGCTACTACTTATATCTGAACCAACATTAATAACACATGAGTAACATATTCCAAAATTCTATTTAAATAATAAAGTATGACAGATTTATTAATCAAACACAAATTAATATATGGAGCTAAAATATTCAAATAAAACATGCAGAAAGCCAACAAAGATAAATATAGTAAAAAATAATGTGAAGACTCTACACCATTAATCCTACAAGTTTCATAATTAAAATTATCAAATATTAAACTGCAGAAAAATATAAGGTAAAATTCGTAGTAGACCTGAAGTAGAAGCAAAAACGGATTTGCATGATCATTGCAGCTTCCTAACAAAACTTAATGCGAATCAATATCAATCATAAATTATATATGCATAGGTACACAACATCAATGAGACATTCAATAAAAAAAAATTAAATCTTTGAACATGTAAACCTTAAAGAAAAAAGAACTCTAGAAATCATATGGAAAACAAAAAAAAAATATCAAGATCTTAGCAAGAAAATATTTCTCTAAATCAAATTTATGTGTACGTCAAAGTTAGATAATTCGATAGGTGTCATTGTTATAATTTTACTTAATAATATTTAAAAATTTAAAAATAAAAATAGGAAAAACTGTAAATTATATTTTAAATTCAATTATATAAAACCAAGGGAAATTGAGTGTAGTAACCATAACAACAGCTGAAATTCATCAAATAGCCATAACAAAAGCATAGTTATTATATTCTGTTTATTTTCTACAATATATACAAAATTACCTTTTTTTAAAACTTTTTCATTAATTTAATATCTTCATTTCACTCTGTTTTCTCTTCTTCATTCCTCCTTTTTTCCTCCCCTCCCTTCCCCTCCCCTACGTCTCCTCCTCTCCTCTTCTCTCTTTTTCCTAGCCTCCCCTTTTCCTCCCCTTCCCTCCTCTCTTCTTCCGTTTTTTTTCCAATTAGTTTTGCAAATACTATATCAAACAAAATTATTCTATAAAATGATATATAGTATAGTAGCTATTATAATATAGTACAAGGATATTTTCGACAACTGATGGTGGGTCATGGTTAGTTTATAAATTATCTGTACACTATGGCTATATTCTTTATTTTAACTATCAATATGGTTATATATGCAAAAAGCCCTAAAACCAATTTCTATAAACGTATTATAGTTTTGATAATTTTTAAAAAAGTAGCAAAAATATAATTAAACAAAACTATTAATACAGACTCGCGCGTAGCTCGAGTTATAAACCTAGTCTATTACTAATAAAAGTTGATGATATATGCCTCTAAGAGTGTCCACATATGATTTAAAAGATTCAGTTCTATTGGTACACATCATCATCATCTATAGTTAATTATATCTTGTATATTAAAATTAATTAACTAGTTTTTTATTAGTATAAGGAAAATTTCTAAATTTTAATTAATTTTATTTTTGTTGTTGCTCTTAGAAAAGTTTCTAAATTTTAAGTTAGTTATCAATAAAAAAAAGTTTAAAAAATAGATCTTATTTTTATTAACAATAAAAAGTAAATTAACATATAAATAGATTATGAAAGAAAAAATTATATATATTAAATAAAATAACTAAAAACTGTAATTAAAGCCATGATTAAACTATTTTAAAATTTTAATCACAACAAACAATTAACATCTGAACTGCTAACATAAAAGATATTAGTTGTGGTCCGTGTTGATGTTTTAGGCCAATGAGAGCCTCCATATATGACATATATACTCAATCTAATTGGTATGTATCAGCGTTTTTCATTAAATAAGAAATATTAAATATAATTAATAATTTAAATAAATTAAAACATGCAAAAATATAAAATTATCACAGAAGAATTGAAAATTAAGATATAAAAATTTTAACTGATAAAACAGCTAAAATAAAATTATGTCACAAATCCAAACCTATAATGTTTGTCAAAATAAAATGGAAACTCATCGTTACAAAAGGTAAAATAACAAAAACAAATATGTAAATCAGTAACAAAAAAAATATTTTAAAAGATGAAATTTTTTAGCATATATATTTTAAGTGAGTAATTTATTTAGAAAAAAATATTAAGATTAAATTTTTATATAAACATATAAAATTGTTATTTAAAACTATCGACACTACCAAAAATATATTATGATAAATTAACAAAAGAAAAAGTCATCTAAAATTTGATATTTTGCGTAATTATTTAGAAAACTAACACAAAAGTTAACAACCAAAAAATAATACTTGATGCTAATTACTGAAAAACGGAATATAAAAAAAAATTTAACGAACAAAAAACAAAATATAAATTATTTCTTCAACATGTCAATATAATTAAAATAATAATCTATATCGAGAAAGTTAATTTAACAAAACAGATATTAACTTTATATCTATGTTATTGTTTTAACAAAATCAATATAAATAGATTAAGTAAGAGAATAAGAAAAACTTAAATAATACTAAAAAACTTAATTAACAAAAATAATATAAATATATAAGCTATATATTTAAGAAATCAATGTTGACAAATTAATTAACTAAAAAAGTAAAACAAAAATAATTTTTACAAAATGTTAAAATTTTTAA